GAGCTTCAAGGTGCAATCTCAGGCCTGAAGCCAAGGATGTTGACAGAGGAAGCTAGGAAATGACCCGAGCTCCCTCCCTCATACAGCAATGAAAGACAGAAACCTTGTAGGGGAAAGCTTGTCCCCTAAGGCTTATCCTGGTACCTAGGTAACCCTCGTTTGTTCTCAACAAATTGCAGACTGGGAATAAAACACTGTAATGCCTTGTACACAGTTATTGAGGAAATCATCACTATGACCTCGCTGCCACAAGAGACCTATAAGAGTGTTACCCGCATGTGGCATACCTGAAGCCACAACTTCCTACCTAGCAGTGGCTGAGCATCGGTTGTGGCAGTGCTCAAGAGAAAAGACAGAACGATGGCTCCTTCTTATTTCTGGTCCTCCCAAGACTCGTGGGGGAAGCACCCCAGTGGTGGGAATACCAGAAGTGGGGTCAAGGGGATGGGGAAAGCTAGGCATTGCCCTGCTGACTAAGGCATTGCCCTGCTCACCAGGGCAGCCTTCTGGACCAAAGCACCACCACTCCCTTTCACAGGAGCGAGAGACATCACCATTCCCACTTTCAGGGACTGGCTAAAACTCATTCCACTGGGGACACTCAAAAGGTGATTAAACAAACAAAAGAAAGTGATGGAAGTTATAAAAGCAGCCCAGTTTGAGGAATCTTATCAGATCCTTGGCTCTCTCTGGAAGTCCACATGTTTGGGCTACACCTTTCCACACAGCTTGGTTTCATTTTTGTTTTTCTCTGCACATCTGTGTTGTCATTCAAGCCTCTGTTACTGCTTAACTGGATAACAAAAATATCTTGAAGACCTTGTGAGTTCTGAACACATTTATTTGGAAACTTTCGCTGATGTTGTATGTTTTGGTCTAGAGATGCACTGATGTATCACCATCTCCCACAGAGCACAGATTCACCTCTAGTCCTGGACAAGGCTTCTCCTGATTGCTTTTAAGCTTTAAATCCTTTTTTCAAACTGGAAGGCTGTGTCCTCCCCCAGCTGCTCAGTGCGGGTGTGCTAGCAGCACCCCTCCATCTGGAGAGCTTGGTGCGGATGGCGGGGGGGTGGGGTGGGGGTGATGCTCCTGGTGATGGGAAGCAGTTCAGTATTTTAGATACCAGGCAAACTGCAGTGAAATAACCGGAGGTATCCTGCTGCTCTTGCTGGCTGTGGACACCGGAGGGAGCTGCAGCACACCGGCCTGGGAAGCCCCATTTTTTCCCCTTGCAGTCCAAGCGCATTCTTCAAGATATGCGGCTCTGTGTCAGCAAGCCCCGATCTGGAATGAAGGCTCTCCTTCCTGGCTCTCCTTTTTGTCATCGTACTGGATCCACAACTGTTTAATGTTTCGCTTTTTGGGATGGAAAAGAATCTTGTTCTTTTTTTCCCCCATCCTTGCCCCATGACATTGACAAAGATAGTCAGACAGCCCTTTGCTTCTGGGAGATACGAATAATTAGCATCCTTCTGCACCTTCCCTTCTCATTCATGTTGCTGTCTTCTGGTTTGCGTGCAGCCATCCTTCTCCAGCAGAAGGTAACTTAGGGACATCTACAGCAGATGACTCAAGGTGAAGCACTCTTCCCTCTAAAAAGTCAGGCATTGGTGGCAGGGTATGGTGTGAAGAACTGTGCTGCAGTAAATAGCGTGGGTGACTCATAAGGGAAACACTTCCATGCATATATTCCCATAAGCTGCGCTGACCCCACTGTCTGTAGGTGTTTGCCTAAGATCATAAGCAATGACAGTGATTCAGCAAAAAGTTCTCTTCCAAGTTGGTACTGATCCCATTAAGTTACTAAGGATGCTATAGCGGTAGTAGTGTGGTATTTTGGATGAGATGTAAAATCAGCCTTAAAATCTCCTGGTGCATTTCACCCCAGAGATTACTGCATCTCAGCAGACAGGTAAGTGATCCTGGGGCATACTATTTGTAAAAGTCTTGGAGAGGCATTTAAATGCCAGCTGATTTCTTTCCCTGTCTCTCTTTGTCCCCCTGGCCTTCAAATACCCTCACAGTAACTGGGCATTAAGTTACATCTGAGTGATGAGAGATTAATGAACTGCTGTAAGATGTTGGAAGGTATCAGGTCAACAATGCAGCACTACTGCCCGTGGGAATTGGGGCTGAAATGAATTTTCTTGGGACCCACAATGATGACTTCTCAGTGCTGATGGACTCCATTAATAGCTGAGGTCTGCCACTATCCTGCAGTTGTTCCATTGGTGTTGCTGAGGTCATCGGTGGGAAGGGATGAGAGATCAAGGCCTGCTCCATCTGTCCCCAGTTTTGGGACGTTCACATCTGACTTTGTAGGAGTGGGAACACTGCAAAGTACAGGAGCCTGGACACAATCCACCTCTTTTTGACTGATGGTCATGCTTTCTGTTGTCCCATCTACAAGAATAAGGAATTCTTCACCCTTTTATTTCCAAATCAACAAACCACTGCTTAGAGGGCAGGCAGTCCTGCAATCACAAAATACCCTAAGAGAGTCCATGAAACTCTAATGTTGTCCATGAAACTCTAAAAACACATGCTCAGCTCCTTCAAATGAGTTCAACATTTGTGAAGAATTGAGCATGAGAAGAGGCAGGCAGTGGGCTCTTTGCTGTTGGGTTGGTGTTTTGCCCATGGGCTTCAGGCTTCTGATGGCCAAGAGGCCTACAGTGAGAAGTTGTCAGGACCTTCCTTCTTCCCTCGCTGTGCTTCAGGGTTTCCTTCTCTGCTCTTTCTGTAGT